CACGTGGATAGCCCGGTAATCGAGTTTCTGGGGTAGAGACTTGACCGCTTCTGCCAGCGCCGCTAGCTCTGCCACATACGGGTTCTGCTCCGTTCTCTGGCCGAATGTGCGCGAGGCCGTTATCACGTCGCCGCCCCCTCTGAGTGATACAGGCAGCCTTGTGGCCGTTCCGTAGCCCACGACCCCGTTTCTTGCCGAACTTGCCGTCGCTATCCTCACTGCCCACCCGGACTGAATTCGGTGGCCTTGACCGCGTCGTCGTCGACTACTGTGTCAATCCGGGCTTCCCATGGAGTGATCGAATACCCTTCGATAGTCTCCAGCTTGTCGAGGGGTTGGTCGCGGTAGGCCTCCGCCATCAGCTGGAAGGGTGATGGGAACCGTCGAAAGGCTACCGCCCGTAGACGTCGAAGCGGATGGGTCTTGGGAAGGCTTCGCATCCGTACCCAGAATGTTGTTGATTTTCTGTCGTATCTCTCTTGCGCCGATTGAATGCTTGCCTCCGCTTCGGCGACCGCTGTGGCCACTGAGTTGAAGGTTCCCACGACCGCTTGGGCGCCAATCCTCTGCACTCGGTTGACTGCTCTCATCTGCGTTGCCCGACATCTATATCTCCATACATTCGACGCGTAGTCCATCGTTGGTTCCACGGCCGCGACGAAAAGCTGTCTGGCCGTCGCCGGAGACAGACCTTTGAGCCGCCTGAGTCCCAGCACGGCCTCCAGCCCTTTTGTCGTCGCGTCTGCGATGTGCTTTTCGAATCGTAGCTTCGTATCCATCGTCACCCCGAGTACCTTGACGTGGTCCTTTGGTCGGACAGTGTCCCCTTTGATGACGAAGCTGGTCGAGTCCGGCGGTAGTCTCCAGTTGCGCGTGAAGTGGATGATGGCCGTCTTGTCCGTCTCGAAGGTCGCCTCGCTTCGTCGTTCCCACTCGAGTGCTCTATCAATGATGTTCTGGATGCCTTCCCGGTTTGCTTCTCGCGATCGTCCGGTAACCCACGCCGTGTAGTCGTCGACGAAGGCCAGCGCGCCCCCGTTCTCGTCGATTTGGTGTTGTACGAGATCGGCATTGAAGAAGAGGAACAGCACAGGCGACAGTGGCGAGCCCTGAGGCAGCCCTGCTTGTGGTAACGGGCGAGCCCCGGACTCGTGATCGTTGACTAGGATGCTTGCCGTTCTGTGGGAGCAGAAGGCATCAACCCATCTCGCCAGCTTCCCGGGGATACCCCGCGCCCTGAGTCGTTGAAGTAGTCTCTCCTTGTACACCCCATTGTAAGCTCCCTTGACATCAAAGCTGACCAGACTGACCACCTTTCTCTTCCTCCACGCTCTGTAGATGTACTCCTGCAGCAGTATCAGCGCCTGCTCTGCCGACCTCTGCTTGCGAGCGTCAAAGTGGCTCGTAGGGAGGAGGCCAAACGACTCGACCGCGTGCGAGATTTGTTCTGCCAGGACCGACTCTAGCACTTTTCCGAGCGTCGAGAGCAGCGTGATCGGTCGCCAGGCCTTTGCCACGCCGTAGTTGCTTTTGTTTGGCTTCTTCAGCGGGATGATTTTGGCGTGCCGCCATTGCTGAGGCAGCGTCCCTTCATCTAGCGAGGCCTGGAAAAGTGAGAGGACCCTCCCCTTCACCACCAGCCATGTGTGCTTCCACACTGTCACTGGCAGACCGTCTTCTCCGGGTGCTTTCCACGGCTTTGCTGCAAAGAGCTGTCTCTCTGCTTCTCCCAGCGTGAGGTTAGGTAAGGGTACCGGCGACCTCTGTGGCCGCCCCCCCTCCTCCTCAATCGTGTTGGGAAGAGGAGGCAAGAATGTAGAGAGCAGCTCTTCGGCCTGTTCTGCGGCGTCTTCCGTTGGGGAACCATCGGCTCTTTTTAAAAGGGGGATCTTGTCGAAGGAAGCCCCTTTGCTGGCGTCGAGATACTTCGCGGCCTTCCAGATGTTTGTGTCGCCGGCCAGAAAGTCCTCCCAATGGCTCTTCTTCTGTTGTCGGATGACGTCGTGATATTGCTTGGCGGCCGAGCGGGCGCGTTTTTCCAGCTCGGGTTGGGTGTTACCTGCCCTTCTCTCCGCCCTCGCCCGGTTCCTCCAGTGAGTGTGAATCTGCCGGAGCTGTGTGAGGTCGGCCGTCCACCATCTCTTCGCATACGAAGATGGCTTGGCATTGGGGGTCAGTGCCTCTACTGCCTCGCACACCACGGACATCAGTCGATCTGTCTGCTGCTGCACTGTGCCTCCCGTTGGCATTCGCCCTAAGTTTGCTTCCATTCTCTCATTGATTTGCTTCCATAGGCGTTCTTGAGAAGGAGTCGTGGTCGGCTTTCCATCTCGGGGGCGGCCATGTCGAAGGTCGTCTCGATCGCCCGGTGGTCCGACCCATGGTCTGTCTCGTGCAGGGCGCATCGTACCACAGTTCGTGCTAGCTCTTCAGACGCGAGGGATAGGTCGATGGTCGTTGCCGCGTCGTTCTTCTCCCACGTCTTCAAGCCACGCGGAAGGAGGCTGTGGAGCGAGTACTCGCTCATCAGATCGATGATCGGGTCTGCCTCGCCTTGCCGGCCCTCCGACACATCGTCGCCTCCCCATAGGTAGTCGTGGCAGTTGAAGTCTCCTACTAGGGCCACGTCCACCCTTTCACCTGTTCCTCCTCGAACATTCGTGATAGCTTGTCTCAGCAGGTCGCACGCCTGCCGCAGCATCTCCGGCTTCTGCACCGGCACGTACACCGATGCCACCAGCAGCCTTCGATCCGGAAGCCGGACAACGGCCGTAGTAATATCCGAGGACGCTATCGGCACCTGTTCCGCCTCTACTTCTCTGTTCACCCGCAGCAAACTCCTGATTCCCTATCTTCCTTCGTCCCTCCACTCCGTCGGTACCATCCTCGTCCACCTGCTATGTGCCATCGGAACAGTAATGGCCTTACCTTCTATCATCCGCGCCCATGGCTCCTGCACCGCTATGGCCGTGAAGTCGCGCAGCGCCTCGTCATTCATCAAACTCTCGTGGACCTCAGCCTGTTTCCTCACGTTAAGCTGAAGGATCTGGACCTTCCTACTTATGGGAGCGCGGATACAGCTTCGGACAGTTCTTGCTGAACGACTCGTGGGGTCCGCCACAAGGCACGCTTGTCACGATCGTCTCACGGCATTCAGAATGGTGGTGGCCTACCTTGGCACATCGTCCACACACCTGGGGGTTTGCGCACTGGTGCGCCTTGTGCCTGGTGATCTGCTGGCAGTTGTAGCACTGTTGCGGACGTGGCCGCCGCTCAAACGCCATCGTCGTGCCGGACTCTCCTCCAACGTGGAAGAAGCCCTCGGAGATCAGTCTACGCGCATCACTGGCCTTGGTCCCGAACACGACCATGGACCCATACGCCTTGGGCATGTCTTTCTTGCTCAGCCAAGATATCTGAGCAACGGTCGTTTCGTTTTCTCGGCCAAGTGCCTTTGCCGCTTCAGCCCTAACATTGCCCTTCTCATCCAGTACCTCGGTTCTCTTCACGTTATCGATCTTCACGGGGTAGAGTTCGTCCTGTAGAACTCGTGTGCCGGAACCGAAGCTCTTCTCCGCGATCTGCTTGACAAGCCTATGTTCAGCATCGTCGCGACAAATAATCCGAATCCTATCCGCATTCCTTGGGTCTACTGTGATGGCCCGACAGCGCCAGCTACTCTGTCCGTCTATAGCGCGCATTTTCTTCTCCACCGCAGCCCGGATCCGACCTGCGTTGGGCTTGTCGCTGCCTTCTTCAACTCTTGATGTGTCGATCGTACAGAATAAGGGATCGCTGCGGCTCGGCAGCGTTGCGTTGCCTGCCGTGGCTGCCCGCGAGACGCGACCTTGCCTGCCTACGCCGCTTCGCGCGACGTCCGCGTATGACGCACTTGGGCTGTTCCGCGTCGCAGCCCCTGCCACGATTGCTTCAAGGTTCTCGTTCGTCTTGGCGCTTTCGTCTTCCACGCGTTCTTTCATCGCTTGTAGTTCTCCTTTGACAGACTGTAGTTCGCTCTTGACTGCTTCCAGCTCTGCGGTGCCCACGCGAAGCTCTGCTTCGACGTTCTTATTCCATACTTCTGACTTCTTCCACGCATCGAACATGATCTTGACCGCTGTGTGTAGCTCTTTAACCTGCTTGCCCATCGTCAGGAGCAGTCTCTTGTCGTCATCCTCTATGGGTTTCGCGCGTTCCTTGGCCAGAGTTGCGGCTCGCGTGGTCGCCGTCCGCCGGCTAACACCAGAAGTCTCCGTCGCTCCGTCGGTCGCATTGTCGATTATCTCTTGGGGAGTCTGGTTCAGTCGGACTTTCGTAGATGGTATTCGCACCCTTCGTGATGGCAGATCCTCGTCGCTCGCTACAGTGATGGGCGTCTAATCTAGCTCGCGATCCATCGCGTCGGGACGTGCGTAGAATCGCCACGCGGTGGATCGTGCTAGTGCCACGTAGCGCGTTTCGGAGCTTCTCGACAGCGATCAACTCAACAACGTCGAATGATTCTTCAAACATACAAATATCAAAAATCTTCCCCTTTGATCGAACTCTGCTACCTCATTGATCTACAATTCATAGTGTTCGTACTGTACTATAACATTTCGGAAAGCCTTCTTGTGTAGTGAAACCGTCCTCGTCAATCAACCTTTGGCCTCATGATGAGCGAATATGCATTACAGCGTACGTAGAGGTCGATCATCTTATCAAGCCCCTGAATCTATAACCTTGATCGCTGCATTCCTTGCTGTCCGACACACCTCTGGCACGCAAGACCGGGCACCCCTTAGATCAGTCGAGGATTGCCACACACTTCGGCAGCTGAGGACGAACCTGGTCGGGGCAATTACGAAGTATACGGTCCGCGGCAAGTGGACTTAGCAGAAGAGACTTCTCTCCAGTTCAATATTCTCAACTGACGGGAGACATCAGTATTCTCGCTGCACAGCCCCGAGAACGGTGGTTGACACACAGTATTCAGAGCATTGAGATGGCCATCGTCAAGCTCCACGACGAGTAGCACGTCTTTCGATACTGTACATCCCAATTGAACAACGTATATCTTATACGGAGCTAGGCGAGCGCGTGGAGGTCGTTGTTCCCTTTTTAAAGTAGATGACGCCGTCTAACCCAATGGTCCATTCCTTGTTGACCTCTTCAGAAAGGATCGCCCGTGTGCTTGTTGCCACGGGTATCCTGATAGAAGCCAGGCCTGATCAACCCGTACACACAGCCAGGTCTACGATCTTCCTTCCCGGGAATCCGTATGAGGACCCGGATCGGATTGTGTAGGAATTCTCTCGACAGCACTTCCGGCTCTAGCTGATGTGACGAGGATGAATCGAGACCTGTCTAGATGCGACACGATTCGGTACTTCAAGCAACGCACGAAAAGAGCCGGATGGGCTTGGTCCTAGTCCTTCGACGTTTACGAAGGGCATGGTGGACAATGTATGCTAGCCATGACGGCTTTGAATCGCCTGGCGCCCATTATCGGCGTGTACGACTTCTCATGGATCACCGAGGCATCGGAAATGGAAGGCGGTAGCAGAGTAACACTGGTCGATGTTGGCGGCGGCAGCAGCCATGAGATTCAGTCTATCTGCGAGAACAATGGCCTGCCGCTTGCACGTTGTGTGTTCCAGGACAAGGAGACTGTCATCTCGAAGGTCGAAAATCGGGGACTCTGCCGGGATTGACGCTCATGGTGATTGACGTGTACGAGGAAACATCGTAGGTACCTTGAATGTAGGAGCAAGCAACAAGAGCATGAAGCAATTGACGTTGCTTGCTTGAGAGTTTCACAACTTAGACTACCAAGCACCTTTGCCCCAACCCTACTTGCTCAGTTTTGGGTCTTAAACACGATCACTGCGACTCTGGTCTATTGTTGTACGAATTTCCCTTCCAATAGGTGAGTGAGTCTCAGTGAACTAATAATCGCATAAGCCACCCTACGTACATAGGGGCCCTACGCTTTAATCTCTGCATGGCGCCGTCGCGCCAGAATCTCCTTAAACAGCTTTGACACCTCGCCTTATTTATCAGACATGTCCCGTGTTCAGTTCCACTCCATATCTTGCAAGCCGGATCCGCTGAGAAACCCGGCAAAAGAACCGGTGGATCTTGAAGGAACTCCTGTCAGGTCGGTAGGCACGTGCGGCAGCAATTGTTTGCGTCTGTGGAGCTTTCGGCTGGTAGCTTAAGGCTGCCATTTCGGCTGCCGCCGTACCCTCCTTCCGCGTTTCGCCCGATAACTCCACCTCCAACCTGTTCTGACCAGGAATGGTATCGCTTGACTGTCCTTCCGGTGTACCCAGCTCGCTGTCACCAACTGACACAAACGTTGACGCGCAAGCTTCCATCTCGAAGATGTCGCGCAAGTCGATCTCAGGCAGCCTGAGGAAAGAACCTTCCTCAGCCGCGCCGGTCGCACTCGCAGTGTCAGCGTCGCTCATGGAAAAATGCTCCATCATGCCCTCGCCATCGTGGTTGAGTGGTGTTAAATCCGTCCGTTGTTCATGTTCTGCTGGGTTGCTGGGGGTTTCGCCTACATCAGCGTCGTCTTGCTGGACGCCCGATACAGTGCCGCCAAAAACAGCGGCGCCGACGTCATCGGCCTCGATTTCGTGTGGGGCATCCACATCCCCACTTGCGACTTCCTTCGCCGTTGCGTCTTCGTATCCCACGGTATCGGGCGTTCCCCGCACGCTGCTTCCGACCACCCCCACTTCGAT